CCTTTCTACGTAACGACATGTTACATTCATTCAACAATCTACCTTTCTACGTAACGACATGTTACATTCATTCAACAATCTACCTTTCTACGTAACGACATGTTACATTCATTCAACAATCTACCTTTCCACAGTATTTGTGATGACCTGCTCAATGTGACAAGGACCGAGACGACCTTTGAGAGGATTTTTTATGAGAAAATAAATGAAATTTCCTTTTTTTTTCTCTAGATGCTTCTCAGTTGATGAGCTCGAAGTCTCGTCCCAATCCAGAGGTAGAGTCGTGGTTAGGCGACCTGGGTCTCCAATCTGTGGAAAGATACGTTGATCTTTTCGCTGGCCATCAGATGGACATGACAAGTATTCGACTTCTCACTGCCAACGGGCTTCGTGAAATGGGCATTCATGCCTTGGGACCAATCATGAAGATCCTGAAAGGTGTGCAAGTTTTGGCTCGTGATGAAGAAAGACGTTGCTCCGAGCTCGAAGCCCTGCCCAAAGACGAAGACACGGTGCCCAGCAGAGACAGAGAGTGCCCGGACGGAGCGGAGCCATCGCAGCGTCACAGTAACTGTTGGGACAACGACGTTCTGTCGTCTGCTCCTGTGAAGCTAGAGTCCGTGGTCCGGCCTATCGTCTCCCACACGGGTGAACGCGAGAAGATTTCTGTCCTTGAGGATGTCGACAAGGACGTGGGTCTTACTGCAGGTAGCCTGCCACCAGAGGGCGATAAAAGTGAGCAGCGAAAGAATGGCGAATCAAAGAAACAAAATGGGAACCATGAGAATAAATTTGGTTTGTCCAAAAGAAATTCTAAGAAAAGTGGTATTTCTGAGAAAAGGGCATTGATTCAAGGCACAGGATGGAAACAGACTTCTGATGAAGCAGACTTCAAAAATGTTCAAAATCGATCCCCTACAAGTGACTCACATGTCCCAGAAACTCTTCTGGTGAAGGAGAAAGAGAAGCAGACGCACAGACAGACGCACAGACAGACGCACAGACAGACGCCGGTGGCAGTATCCAGCAGGAAGTCCTCGGCCAAAGGATCAGGAAGACAGAAGAAAGACAGAGCGGGCTTGAAAGTCACGGGGAAACCTCCTGTGGTGAGCAGTAGAACATGCGCTGATGGTGAGTAAGCTTTTCTGGAAGTATAGTCTTGTCTTTGTGAGTGATGTCTTTGTGTGAGTGATGTCTTTGTGTGAGTGATGTCTTTGTGTGAGTGATGTCTTTGTGTGAGTGATGTC